TCCTGCCCCTGTCGGTTATCCCTACGGACATTATCCCTACGGACACAGCTGCCGCCGCGCTATTTACACACGCGATCCGAAATACGGGACGTGCTGGTCCTTATCCCGAGAAGGAAGAACCTGCTCGCTCAGGGGCTGCGAGAACAACCTGTCTTTGCAATGAGGTTTGTGTCATGTAGTATCCTGGATGCTACACATCCGACGGGGTGGGGTGGGGGGAGACACCGTCCGCATGCATGAGTTTACCAATGGTGTTTAAATACCTGTAATTTTTTTCCTTATATATAATTATATACATATTCTTTCTTCTTTAAAAAATTAGGTTTGTATGTTTCTACTCCCGGGAAGCAACCCCCCAATTCCTCTGAGTCACAATGGAGTCTGCAAAACGGGGGGGACTGAGGAGGGCGCTGCTGTAATGTCTGCCCCAGCCATCGCCTGGGAGGTCCCATGGAATGGAGAGGACAACCTGAGAGAGGAGGTGGGAGAAACACAAGACTCCCGGACACACAGCTCCTGGGTGCTACGAGGGATGGGGAGGAGGAAGGTGTTACCTGCCTGCAGTCCCAAGTAAAACAAAGAGTGTGCCGCCTTCTCAGCTTGCAGCCCTGCCTACTGCACCAGTTCGAGAGAGCCCAAGAGTGAACGGAGGGTCCCACAGGCAAAGCAATACTATTTACAAGATGGGAAATGAAAAAACAAACTCCAAAACCAACAACTACTCTCATTTTGACCAGGAATGTTGGGTTGGAGGGGACAAAATATATGTAAAGAGGATAGGTAGGTCCAAACTACTTTTTCAGGCTTTATGTTAAACAAGTAACTGATCTCAATAGAGATATCTGGTTGTGCCTAAGCTAACACCAACACCAACCAGTAAGAGGGAGAGACTCAAGTTTATTACCTCCTCCCACAAGCCTCTTCACTTCCCAGGCAGTTATCACTCGAGTCTTTCTCTACCTGGCCCAATGGACAGCCTGTGGTGAAACATATTCACAAGGTGCAACAAAATGTAACACATTTACGCTTTCTTTGTTCTGTAAACTAGAGTTTTTAGTTATTTCCTACTGCCAGCAATAGGAAGTTATCAGGGAAGAGTAAGGTGGATCTGTCTCAAATTATGAACAGCAACACTGTATCTCCTCACCCTTCCCAGTAACAAACTTGTAGCACCAGCATCTCCTTTACTACTTCTACTACTCAATTCATAACATCCAAGCCTTGGGCAAAGAGGTTGTAACTTTGCTGTGCAAGTAAAACTAGTTGCTTAGGGGACAACAAGCGAAGAAACAAGAGGCCCAAGAGGACATTCAAAAAACAAACCCCTTCCAATTCATTCTCCAATTACAGATCACCATCTCAGTCCTAAATCTACTTTCCTGAAGCCTTTCTGTACTCTCTCTTTCACAGGTATTGGCCAAATGGTGTTTCTCAGGCCAAGACCATCTCTATTTCTACTCTATTTTCCTAAGTATTCGACATCTACTATTCTAATTTATATTAAACTACACAACCTCCTCCAGCTGATCTACTTGCCCAATACTTCTCTTGCCATCATTCTGATCACATTTTACCTCTGGTTTCTTGTATGCAGCCATGACCCCAAGCAAAATCCATCCCAGGAAGCAAACCCCAGCTTAAAAATCAGATTTGCCTCACAAAACTCATTTCCAAGGAGCTTTATTTCGTATCTCTATGTCAGCTCACTGGTTGTTGCTCTTTATCTTAATGGGAATTCCATTCTTGCCACTGATTTTTCTGTATCGTCTCTGACCCTTTTTGTCACTACCTCAAAGATTAAATAATAGAATGGAATAAAATTGCACAGGGAAGTAATATAAAAGACCCTCAAACCATTATCACCAGTACCAAAAGATACTTGGGTTGAAGGGACTGCTATTTTACCTGAGTGTCTCGTGGCCCCAGTATAGCAAGGTATTTCCTGTATACTAGGACATATGTTCACAGTCTGAAAGTGAAGGAACTAATCACCTCAAAAGCAAGCTTGACCCATACTAACTCCATCACAGACCCAACATGACTGCCGCCATACAGTCCACTCATGGCATCTCCAGCACACCTTTTCACTCAAGGAAACTGCCAGGAATCTCCTCTCTGTTTTTCAACTTGCTTTCCTTGGCAAAACCTATCTGTGCAAGAGAAGCCGCCCACAGGACCGAGCACACCAACTGATTCAGCACAGCGCGATGCCGAGACAGGACTAGAAAGCAACACTTCTAAAGTTTCAGTACAAGCCCATGGAAGGAAAGGTTAGCAAGGACACCTGAAAAGTGATTATGCAGATTTAAATTACACACAGAAGGAGCTGGAAAGCTCTCAAAGTGCTCCCCATACTTCTGAGTCCTGCAGCACTCAGTAGTGGGGATCAGCCAGCAAACCTGTCAGGGGGAGAACGAAACCTGCAGAGTAGTCAGCCCTGGAGTTATTCTGAATTCTTCACTGGTCTGGCCTGCCTGGTATTCGAACAGGCTGCACTGCAGATCTCCAGTCATAGAAAGACAGAGAAGTCAACAGATCACATTTCCAAGTGCCATGGGGTTTCAAAGAGATGACAGCCAGAACAGTAAAATGAAAGAAAACTGCTTCAGGCCTGTAACCTGTGGAACCAAGTGATGCCATCTGGCTGCCTTCCACAGCGACTTCCACAGATGCTAGGAGACTCTCTCCCATGAAAGCTTATTGCTTGCACCAGTTTTATAAAGTGGGACTACTGCCTTAAACTAAATACAAGTCAGACTGGAGATGGAGGAAGGAATAGAACATTTTAGGTATCTATCTGTCCCTGTTGTGGGAAGGAGAGGGGCTAAGGGGGAAGGTGCTGAAGAATTTCATTGGTTTTAAATTATGTTTTCTCTTAGCTTATCATTGACCAAAAAAACCCCACATCACTGGACAGTTTTAAGCCAGAACAAATGCAGGTTAGCATGGGCTTAGAGAAGCTCCATAGGGTGAGAAGAGTATTGCACATACAAATGCAAGAAGGGAAGATTTTCTATTTCTCAGACCACAAACTCATGAAAAGCAAAGAGGCTGGGGGATGGGGACATGGTGGTAATCACGTCCTAAAATATCTTGTTCAAGGTTCTTGGGAAACCATTCTCTGTGGGTAGTTGAAAAAGCTTTCCAAAAAGATTTTGGGATGTAAATATTCTGTTTTCCTGGAAAAGCAAGGAAAAAAAACCATTTTCCTATCACACTGGAATGAACAAATGGCATGGATGAGCCGCTGCACTGAAGATCTCCCAAATCTAGAATTACACTATAAAAGATGGAAACCAGCTTTTCCACGTCACTTCTCAATAAATAAATCATCAGCCCAAATTTCCCAGTCATAACATCAAAGTCAACATCCAATTCATGAAAGGTGGCTGAAACAAACATCCATATTCGTATCCAAATTCCATTTTCAAAATGGCTGCAGAATACACAGTCATGAGTATCAAGATAATGTCAAATTCCAGATTAAAAATACCACTACTGAATTCATCACTGAATCCCCAAACCATGGTCCAAGGGTTGCAGAGCCTTCCACCAGAGGTGAATGCAGATAAAATACAGTGTGGGGACTGCCTTGAAACAAGAGAAAAGCAGACAGGGTCTTCATGACAACAGGAGGATTACTCTAGATAACAAAACTGAGGCAGGAAAAGAAAGAACAGCAAGACAAGATTCAAGCAGAAAACAGTTCATTAATTGCACAGACACTCCAGCCTGTCTCCCTGTTGGGGGTTTATAATACAGAGATTGTTTCTCGCTGGGATATGGGAAAGGGATTGACAGTTTTTGTTAAAGGACAAAGATAATAGCCACAAATGTGACATAGAGCAACAGTCAGAAAAATAAATTAATAAATAAACCCATTAAAAGTCTGCTTCTTGATTCTCATGAAGCCTTGGAGAAGGGATTGGCTTCAACTGGACTCCTTTGTGTTTAGTCAGCAGTTCAGAATTTCTTGGATAAATTGTGTGGCACGTTTTCCTTAGGTGCCACCCAATCCTGACCTCCTGGCTATGAAGAAATTTCAAGGCAATTTCTCCAAACTCCTCTTTCAAGATTGTGTCTAGAGACGGGAAGTTGAAGACCATTGGGGGAAAAAGTATTAAAATTGTGGCCAGCACATTGCTAAGAATTAGAGCAAGTCAGTTGTAGGGGCCTGAGGAAATCAATTTATAAAGGTCTCCCACCAGCCCAAGACCAGTGTGATGATAGCATCGGTCTGAAGCTCTCTCTGTGGTCCTCTTCTTGGGATTATCTCTGTGTATTCACAAACACCTGAAAGCCACCCCTCCTAGAGCTTTTTGTCCATGCGTCGTTCCACAGCTTGTAGCAACAGCTCTGAGTACTGTTCCAGCAAAGCTAGTGTCTGCTGATCTCCCAAACTCTTAGGACTTGGTAGATTGGCACCACATCCCTCACTTGGTGGGCTAGTGGTATCTTGTGGCTTCGTCAGTACCTCCTTAACCTTTGGAAGCTCTTCCTCTTCCTTCAGAGAGTCCAGTTCTTTCTTCAATGAGGAGAATGTTTCTGTCAGGAGGCCTGCTATTTTATCTTTGTCAGTAGAAGACTCTGTATCATTTAACACCTGAAAATAGAGAGGGAAAAGGAAATAAAAGAATGTAGTGAGCTTTAGGTAGAGCACTGAGTAAGCAGTTTCAGCCCTTTAGGGAACTGAAGCCGTGGAGATTTGCAGACCACTCAAGTGTTCTTTCCTTCAACATTCAAGATTGCCCATTTAGGCACAAAGCAGGACATGCATCCAGTACTGCTAGTCACACAAAATCCAGAGGCATCACTCCCATAGGGTAGATGGGAAGCACATTTTCAGGTAGTGTTCCCTCTTATACTGGCCATGAGGAGCTGCTACATTTCCCAGCTGCAGCACAGGGCCACTATCTCCTTTTCTTCCTGCCTGACAGATACAGCTGGTCACACAAACAGAGCAAGGTCAGAGGAGAGCTAATGCAAGTGCTAAGGCCAGAGCTGCACAAGACCACATGGCAGAAGCTCGCTGTGGAAGTTTCGTGCTCATTACAGGAGGCTTGACAGATCAATGCTAAGCAAAGAAAGGGAGAGTTTTGGTATTGCTCTGCACGTAACTGTGGTCTGGCAGTGAACAGGACAGGTGAGTGGTTGCATGTTCCCTCTCACAGCTGGATTCCCATGGTATCACTCACTTGCTAATCCTTTTCCCAGGCATCAGAGACAGAGAACAGATGGGGATAATAAAACTTGCAGCTCCTACAACATTTCATATCTCTGAAGCACTGTATAAATATTAACTAATTCCCTAATACCCTTTGGAAAAGAGCATACTGTTCTCTTCAGTTAACAGATAGGCTTAACAGACCAAAAAGTAATGGATCTGCTCAGAGTACAACAGCAAGCCATTGGAAAATCCAGCCGTTGGAAATCAGGACTTCCTGCCTCCCCAGGTCAAGCTTAAGGTGCAGTCAAGTGGACAACCAGGCAGCAGTCAAGAGAACAGGCAGCAAGCACATAGATTAGATGCTTGTAGGCTGTAAAAGCCAAACCACTCCAACAGCCGCTGTCTGAGGTCACTCACCATGCGGTAGAGATGAATGGCTTTGCGCATGCTGTCCTGGAGCTCTGATACCACGTGCTCACACTGCTCTACACTGATGCATGATCCTGTAGGGGAGGAAAAATAAAAACCCAAACTAAGGCACAGACACACCCCAACATCCACAATCTCACAGTCGGGTACAAAACCTTTTTGTTTTGTTTAATATATATATTTGAAAGACCATGTGCACACATTTCTCATTCAGTTTATAGGGCTGGTTTGAGCCAATTATTAAACAGGCAAGTTCGACATAAACTTCCCTTCATACCTAAAGATGCTGCTTGTTTCAAACATTGCTATTTTTCCAGTCTTTAGCCTCTCCAAAGTGAGCAATGGTTTTTCTCAGATCACACATTTCTGGTACAGTCAAGGACAGTCACAGATTACTCATGCCATTCTCAATTACAAAGTCAAGCTTGAATAAAGGCTTCAGTGGCAAAAGGGACTGATCTGAGAAGCCTCTAATTTAGCCTCCACCTAGTCAAAAATCTACATGCTTTCCCTCATCTATTCTCCACATGGGTACAACTAAGTGTACCACACAGTATACAACTAAGTGCTGAAGATGAAGGATTATGCTGAATTACTACGGTGTTCTTTAGTGAGGACTGAGGTTGAGTTATGCTGACAAACAAATTCAATCATAACAGAATCACATTTCCAAGCAACCCAGAATATGCACTGCTGATACACTGTAATTCAAAGATGAAAAATAAAAGCAAGCCCAAAAGGACACCACCTTCTGCCTACCCCCACCGGATATTATCCCAAAGCATCATTAAAAGGCCTGAAATGTTCTAATAAAATAAATACTTTCATGAGTTAAGCCACAAACAAAGACACAGACACACACATAATCTGCATTTATCTTCAATTTGCAAAGGCCTGGACAAAGGCCATTTGACTTCCTTTAGTTACCTAAAACCAAAACTTGGTCACATTAGCACTATTATTTCTGCAGTTCTAAGAACATGGTCTTTGAGCAGGCTGGAGGGGATCTTAGCTGGTTTTATGAATACATCCAGATGTATAAACAAATATAGCTACAAGAACATCTATTTATACATAAACAAACACATACAGAAGAACAAACGGGCATGAACAAATCCTTCCATCTGCATTTTTTGTTCCCAAATCACACAACCTTGTAGAGCTTGAGCACAGTGAGCTTCAGTGCAGTCCAACATTCTTGCCTTTTTTCACCCTCTCTTCTTTCTGTCCCCCCTCCTCCCCTCCTTTTGTTTTAAACCCAACTGTTTCTTCTCATGATCATTTCTGGATTTCTCCTCTCATTATGCTGGTCTCCAGCTCTGTGAGCTGCCAGGTCACAAGCATAACATACATGTTTGAGTAACAGGCATTTTCTGCCTCTTCAGTGTGCACAGCAGAGCTCTTCAGAAACCAGCAGAGAATATTAAACACAGCAACAGTATTAGCACATCTACAGCATTTTAAATTTAGGTATCAAAATGCTTTAACAAAAACAATTAAGTCTGTTTATCTGCAGCTGTTATACAGGCAGGAAAATGGAAGGACAGAAAAATCAAGGGGAAACCCAAAGGCACAGAGCAAGTCAGAAGCAGAACAGGTCTCTGTCAACCCTACAGTTCTAAACTGCTGTACTACGACCTGCGAAGCCACAGTGGAAGTTTCAGATGCCCTCACTGTTCTACAGAGCAGCTACACTGTGGTATAAGAACAGCAGGTCCCTCAGACAAAACATCACATTTCCTGTGATTGTTTCAATCTTGGGGCATTTGATCCCTCTAGAAACACAAAATGAAAAATAACAGGGCATGAAACCCAGATTATCCTTCTGCAACGCTTCAGTGCAGAAATACTGTGCTTAACCATTGAGACGAATGGTGGTGCAGCCTGGAACCACAGGAAATAATCGATCAGGGGATTACAAAGGTATCCCTTCTCAGATATGAATAAGAACAACAAGGCAAAAGGGATTTAACCTGTGCTCTGGGTAGCCCCTGAAGGTACAAGATACCAGTGCAGTGCTTAACATCCAGCTTCCTACTGCACGACTCAGCTCAGTGCTTCAGGAAAGTGTATTTCCAAAAGAAAAACCTCTGGTGGTTTCTCTGCCACTGGAGGTTTTCCTGCCTTGGAGGACAGGATTTTTGCCTCAGTTTGAAGTTACCTGCTAGTTTTCCTTTTCTTTAAACCAGAGCCTGTAACAGAGCCGAGAGCTGTTCTCAGCAGGTAAAACAGTTTCCCACCTGGTACCTTTTTCTCCAAACTGGATATAATTCAGAAATTAAACCATGTTCCTTATGCTCAAAGCCAAAGTCTAGGCCTGCACAGTCGTATAGCCAGTCTGCAGGCATTCTTCAAAGCACAGTAACAGCAGCACAGAGACCTTCTCACTCTCACAGGTCACTACAGCAAGGAACTCACCTTGGTTAAGCCTTACCTTATGCAAGACAATCATATGCAAACCCTTCTGAAGCCTACACACTGCACATTAACAAAGTAAAGCCTGAGCTGCCTGACATAACTTCACTGTCACTATTATCCGTGCTTGCTAGGTTCAGCTAGCACATGTTGGCCTACACCTTCATCTGCTGGTCAGACATGCTCTGAGAGGGGCACAGGGGATGGGCATTCCCCAGCACATCAGCTTTTAGCACTGACCAGAAAGAGATGTGAGTCCCTACAGGTTAATTGTACGACTGCAAACATGAGTGAGCTGAGGTCTACAAAACCTCAGCTTTTCAGAGGTTCAGACATAAGACCCAGAGAAAATGGAAATTAAAGACTGAGAAAAAGATGTCAGGTTGAAGAAGTGTCTCACCATTGAGGGTATGGCTTATGGAACGAGACAGGTGCAGACAGGACGAGACAGGCCAGAAGCTGGACGTAAAGAAATGTGATGGGATCGTGAGGCGGTTCACAAAGACAGGAGACAGAAGGGGGAAGATAAGAGATGGGTATCCATGCACACCTGAGACCTGTGCCGAGGCAGTTACAGGTGTAGGAGACCTCGGCCTGATGGGGTTTAGTGGGCACAGTCCAGGCTGGTTGTCCAGCACACAGGCGATGCCGGTGATCCTCTCCCTGTTCCTGGGCAGTGTGCCCTCAGCAGATTTTGGGTGCTGGCCCTCTGACAGCTCCCTCAGTTTTGGGTTAGTGATCCCTGGCTCATCCTGGCAACCTGTCCTTGAGGCTGGACTCTCTACTGGGCTCTCCTTAGTAGGTCCTGTTGAGACCTCTCTACCAGGAACCAGAGGCCCAGCAGTTTGGTTCTCCTTCTTGGAGGCTCGGACCTCAGGAAAAGAGGGTTTCTTTTTACAGGCCCCAGCAGGTGACTGTGGAGACTGTGGCTCAAGCAGGGTTTTTGTTTTAGTAGTGGGTGAGAAGGAGGCCAGCGTGGGTCTATCAGGCAATGGCTTGGGAATGTCAAGAATCAGATGTGCTCGGTTTGATGATGCCAATTTGCTGTGGAAGGACTTGGGAGATGAGCAGTTCACAACTGGCTGAAGTGCTGGCTTCACTGGAAGAGTTTCTTTCACTGGTAGCTTCGTCTTCTCAGCATCTGCTGTGGAACTAAGCTGTGCCTTCTCTGCCACTGGAGGGCTAGTCCTCCCATCCGCCAGCATTTCGGTGGAGCAACCAAGGTACAGATTTTCCCCTACAGATATGCTCCTTGACATCTTAGCCCGGAAGCTGGTTGTGGGGTTCATGTAGGACTTGGGTTTTGCAGTCCTGACATCTTTGGCCAGCAGAGCACCAGATCCATCCATCTTCAACATACTGGCTGATAACACCCTGCAATTGTTAGGTCTGGGATCCTTCTCAACCACCAAAAGAGTCTGAGGACGCTGCTTGGCAGAGGATATCACTCCAGGACCCTTATCTGTAAAAATTAAACAGACAAACATACCAAAAGGAGACAAGAGCCTGCAGTGAATTCCAAAATCGGAAAGTAACAGAGCTGCTCCGGCCTCAGCTCAGCCCCTGGGAGAGGTGTACAGAACCACTACTTCAGGTTAATATCACCAAGCCTCAACAGCTTTCCTTTTTGCCCTGCTTACACACTGCTGCTTACCTGATGAGAGACTTGTCCTTAAAGTGTATGGCCAGAAGACCTCAGACCACTGTGACCATTAAGTGAGAGGCCAGAGGAAACAGGCAAAATCTTACTTATGATGCTGTGGTGATAAGGTTTATTTTTTATTTAAAACAAATTGAGTGCTTATTGATGGTTCCCGAGTTGGTTTCAAAAGTGGAGTTCTTTCATACAGAGGGCATGGATACAGTAAGCTCCCTGTTACTGTCTCCTCCTTCCCTCTTTCTCTCCTCCCCACCCTGGGGAGTTTCAGTCTTGGCCTGGAGCAACCACCCACAGCAAGAGAGAATTTTTTTACACATAGTTCACTTCACACTTAGCACTGCTCCTCTTGCAGCTGCCAAATATCAGAGACTGATAAGGAGGAGACCAGCATCTGCACTACAAAGTAAAAATACCTTCCCATGACAGAAGACTCTAGAAGCCCAAGACACAAGCTTCAATTAAATCTCTACTCAAGCCCAAATCTCCCCATTTCATTCTCAGGTTTAGACCACCATCCCAACCTGTGTCCTTACCCTCATGAACGAGGTCATGAACTGACTGTGCCTTTCTCATCACTGCATTCACAGGGCCTTCTGGAAAGGCTGCAATAACCCGTCCAGGAGCCATACCAGCTCTGCTGGCCTCCAAAGCTGACCTCCGTTTTTTCTGGCCATAAACAGCCCGATTTGAGTTTACACTCTCCGACAGCTGGTTGTTCTCCAAAGCATCACCAGGGTGGCTGCTGCCATTTTTCAACAAGTTTTCTGGTGTAAAATGATTGGTCTGGGTTGGCAGCTCGATGGGCTTTGAATCCAGTATCAGATTCGACGAAGAGAGCGACAATCGTCTAGAGAACACGATAAAGAAAATCCAGTTAAAACAAGTATATTGCCCTGGACAAACATGCACACACACATTAAGCCAGTTTCTCTGGGATAAAGAGCCCTTCCCTATCTGTCTGGTTTGGAGGGTTTTTTTAAGTCAAAAATGCCCCAGTCTGTTACTACTTTATTGTACTCAGCCCTGGAAGCACTGGTGTTCAGACCTGAGGCTGCACAATCACATACAGTATTGTGTCACTGTTTCCAGGGAGGACACTGTAAAAAGGTGAAGGCAAAAGAGAAGGAAAAATTCCAGGCAGAGGGAAGGCTGGGCAAAGTCAGGTCAGGCCTTTTCTCTCAGCTCAGCTTACTAAAAACTAAACCTTTTCAATCCTAAGATAACCTAAGAGGAAGTAATTATGCTTTCCTAACATTATGAAAGCATAATTACCAGGAAAGCTGGTCAGTATCTTCAAGAGGAAAACCTAATTTCCTCTTCCTCTCCACTTCAGACAAGCACCGTGGGCTTACTTCAGAAAGGAAGCAACTTTCATTTGGCATATTTGAACAGCTGAAGAGATTAAAAGCCCAGAGGTTTTTATAACATAAAACTACCTCTCTTGTTACATCTCTAGAGCACCAGCAACTTCCTTTGCTCTCCACTGCAACTCTCCAGAAGCTTACACAATGACTAGAAATCCACTGGCTTTCTTCCCAACATACATAAGGTCCCAACACAAGACAGACTAAGAGGCACTCCTGACAGCAGCAACAGCAGCTGAGTACAGCAATGAGAAAAAAAATTCCCTAACATGGTGAATCCAGACACAGCTGGTAAACCATAGAAGATGTGCTCACATCTGCTCAGTCCTATACAATGAAATTACTTTGAGCTGCGATCTCGGATTGTAATTTTAGGAGAATAAAGGAGTATTTGTTTAAAACATTTATGAACACAAATTGCAGGTTTTATCACATTTCTTATTTACTTTTTTTGTTTCTTTGTTTTGTTAGGATTCTTTTTAAACAAGGGAAACAGCTTGGAGAGGCCTTTTGGGGTGTTTTAGGGTTGAGGTTTTATTGGAAGAATAATATCCCCATGGGGCTATTATGAGACACCAGAGCACTCTGTGAAGGCATGGGACTGAGAAACAAAGCTGACTAAGAAAGGACTGCAAGACAAAGGCAAAGTTGACAAGCCTACTTTCACTGTCCAAGCTGAATGAAATGCAAAAGAATAAACAGAGCATAAACAGTGAAGAGTAAATTAAATTATGAGCAATTCCTCCACCTTAATCAATGCAGGCATTAATCATGAAACAATTAAGTACATTGTTGAAAGAGGAAAAAAAGACAAAACAACATTGCTGTAGGAAGAAACAGAACAGCTAAAGTGACACAGGATGGCCTGTCCAAATCACAAGGGTCTGCAGCCAGCCTGCCAGGTGCTGTGCTGACACTTTTCTGGGCACAGGCACACCAAAGGCACAAGTTTGTTCAACTATTTTGACACAGGGCCTAGCATAAGACCTACTCACATTAGTAAAAATAGACAGACAGAAACACTCAAAACAAGCAGAGCCATACCTGAGAGCCGGGGACTGGGAAAGAAAGCGAGAGGAAATGCTGAGGTTTTCACTTCTTTCCAGATTCCTACATGAGCCACCTAAAATTTGGTTAAAGGGAAGAGAAAAGGGAGCAGTTTAGTTACAGAACAAACATTCTGACACATGCATTTTCTTATAGCAGAGACTAGCAAATGCTCCCCCATATCCAAGGGGATTTTTTGAGCTAAAACTACAGAGAATGAAATAATTTCATTGCCTTTGCCTTTTCTCTTCTACTTAGATTACTGTGCCTTGAACTGCTACTCTCCCTAAGGGTACGCCTCCTTCTTTTTCGCTTCCCTTTGTGTCCTATCCTGCCTGCAGGACTGTGAAGAGCTGGCATCAAGCAGAAAACAAACCAATCAAATGAGCAAAATAAATTAGAAATTAAGCAGAAACCAAACAACTCACATACATATTGCTGCCTGCACCCATTATCAACTCTAAAAAGATACGCTTTGTGCTGGAGTTGGTCGATAAAGACTAACCAGCTTCTTTGCCACTCTGATGTCTCTTCTTATTCCCTCCCTCCACCCAGCATTTCAGCCTTTTCTTTTGTGACATTTGTTATGCCTTAACAGACCACTAGAGGCCACTGCACGTCACCTATGGGGGGGGGGCGGTGGTGAACACACAGTTAATACCTTCATACACGGCAGGAAAAACTAGTCCAGGACCAAGAGAATGTTTCTTCAGGATTCCAGGGACAATCCTGAACCCAAACTGACACAGACCCCACTCTCATCCACGCAGACTTACACACAGACCTATGGAGTTAACAGCTGTCACTGTTCTTTAGGCCTCTCTACACTGGCTCCCCATTTTTTCCCTCTTGTGTACAATCCTGAACCCAAACTGACACAGACCCCAATCTCATCCATGCAGACTTACATACAGACCGATGGAGATAACATTTCACTGTTCTTTAGGCCTCTCTACATTAGCTCCCCATTTTTGCCCTCTTGTACACACAGCCACAAAAGCCTCGCAGAACTTACAGCCTCGTTTGATTTAGACAGGGGACAAATATGGAACGCCATCCCCAATTCCCCGCACCGAGCAGAGAGCTCTACCTTTTCCATCAGTGCTGCCCAGGGTCCCAAAATGCTCCTTGAGGAACTTCTCCTGATCAGGTATCTGGGGTATTTCTCCCTCTGGCATGCTAGTACTCACATCCTCCTCTCCTTCCTCTCCCTCCAGGTCTGAGATGCCGTCCACACTGAGCGGCTCAGTGCTTTCGGAATCTGGGAAAAGGCAAAACACCTCAGTGCTGTAACAGCGTGATCACAGTAGAATTAGGCAGGTTAAAAAACTAAACCAAACCCCAAACATTCAGCAAAGATGCTAAATCAAACCTAGAATGTTAAAGCAAATGTCGGCCAGCATTAAGTGTAATTCTCTAATCTACCATATCCCACAAACAGCACAGCCTATGGGATAATCAACACTAAACCTGCCTCCTTACCTAGGCAACGTAAAAGAAAGCCAAAGGTGCACAAGGGAAGTGCACTTTAACCAACTCCTGCTTCAACAGTGGCTTCACTGAAGTGCCTGTGAAATGCACCTGAATCTTTATAGCAATACTAGCAAGATTAATAGGAGTGTGACCTCAGTTCAGCTCATTAAGAGGATTAAGTATTACAGATCAGGATAGAAACCGATAAACATTGCACAGAGCCACCCCAGCAAGGTCCTGAAGTGTTCAACATCACATGAATACACTTACAACGTCTTTGCATCTTACCTTCATTTGGATGGTCTGGGCTGGACAGACGACTGCTGCTGTAATCTACAGAGCAGGCACTGTCAGGACTGTGCTTGTCCGGGCATCCATTACTGTGATAACCTCTATTTAGCTTCCCGTGGGGCAGTGCTTTTACCTGGAACTCACTACAAAAGAGACGGGAAAGATACAGCACTAGAAGACATATTTGTTTTACATGTAAAGCAGCACATTCTAACTTTAATAAGGCCTTACCTGTGTTAATAACACCTTTGATTACAAAAGTAAGGCTTTTAAAGAGAAAAAGAAGTTGATTTCTCTCATCATTACACAGTATGCTTTTGCATTTCATTAAGCTTGGACAGTGAAGTCTCAAGGGGACTGTCTGACTTTCCGGGTGTTGTCAGTTTCCCATGATTACCAGGCACCAGCAGAGCACTGCCCTGACTTTATTTCCAGCCCAGGTGAGGAACAAATAGCAGAAGTCTCTGTAATGAAAAAGGGACTAAAACCAGGCCTAGACCTGCATGAGACAAACTCCAGTTTGCCAGAGATCTGAGCCCTAATATACTATTTTTTCCGTGTTTATGACCTGCTGCTTTGTGCAACTTCTGTGTTGCAAAATAGAGAAGATTGTGGGTTTGAGCAAGACTAATTTACTGATGAATGTCATACAAAAACACAGTGTTGTAGGACAGGGTTCCTCATTTCTGTTGTGATTTCATGAGTCTTGTCAAATGACACCAGCAGCATTCTTTGCCTGATACCTGTGGACTTCAGTTTTCCACTTTATGAAATCCTTTGGTTTCAGATGTACTTCAATGCAAGGCAGGATGCAGAAGTCACCCAATGGAACTGAATGGCAATTACCCCTCCCAGCTTGCAAACTCTGTATACATTGAGATATGCCCAGTCTGTATCCAACATCTCCAGAGGGCCTCCCTTTCTTACATGACAGAGCAGCATATGGGTCTGTTCTGTCCAAATGTTATCATAATAGAATTGAAGATGTAAATAAAGAGAAACTGGGAGAAGCCTAGCAGCTTCAGCTGCAAAATCTTGGCATGCACTCTTGCATAAAGGCCTGTCTAAAGCTGTCAGCCCACTCTTTGTAACAGAGCAGGAGGAGACTGAGGAAATTAAACAGCAATTCACATCAGGTTAAGAGGGAAAAGGGAGATTAAAGTTCAGGGAAAGAAAAGAAATGGAGCACAGGAAGAAACAGGAAATTCAGTGAGGTAAAACTAAACCGGAAGAAACAGCAGAGGAATTAAAAAGGTTTCCACTGTCTCCAGTGTCCTTTTCAATTCCATCTATCTCATGGAAGTCATTCTATTTCCCCCAAAAGGGTCATCACATACTACATTTGTTAAATTCTTGCCCAATTAAGTCTGAAATTCTCATGAGTAAGTCAGTTCTCCTGAGCAGACATTTCACTGCCATGGACATACCACTGTTGGGTTGTTTTCCAGCTTCCAAGTTTTCTCTTGCTTATTTCAACCCAGATAAGGGAGAAAGCAAAAAGGCTGCTCCAAGTTGTTTACTCAACAAAAAAACTTGGAGGAAGCTACTAACGTGCAGTTTCCTCAGAGGAAAGATTATTTTAACAGTGCCTTCTTAGTTTCAGATTCCTTTAGCATCCGGCTGGCATAAAGCTCTCAACTAAACATGCCTGGCATCAATCAGGCAGTAAGTCAACTCACCCAAGTTACCACACAAGCTGCAAGCAAACTAAAACAGAAGCATCTAAGCCATGCACAGCAGAGAGCTTATTTTTAACCTGCTAGGGTCTGTGGGATGGATTTCGTCTTGCTCGGGGTAGATTACACATTCCTCACTCTCAGAAGGTTCCAGTTCCTGAGAGAAAATCCCCTCCTCACAAGACACAAGCCGAATCACTTGGGGTCGCACACAAGACCGGTTGTCTTGGGGAGGTACTGAGCTGCCAACCTGGTTTAAAAAGACAGAAAACTGGATATTAACAGTGCTTTTCCTTAAGTCAGCAAATGCTGTGCAGAGCTAGAAAGCAGGCATTACAGCACAGAATATGACCAGAAATCTGAGATCAGCAAACACAGCACTCCTATGACTTTCCCGTTCCTTATTTACTGCACTTGATAGACTACTGCTGTAGTTTCCTATTTTGTTTCCTGTTTGCAATCTCCCAAAATTCTCTGGTAAAGTACTGGACTCCCTATCTCTCTTTGAGGACACATCAGGACTACAAGCCACGTGGCAGCAAGTTCTTCCACTACCTTTTACAGACTGATAAGACACAGTCCAGAGAAGCCTGTGGGCCATGGCTGAAAACCACTGATTTACCGCATGCAACAAGCCCAACCCTCTTCTCGGTCACACAGTTGTAAAGGAAGCAAAACTTCTAATGAAGTTAGGCACCAGGACAGATTGCTACTGGAAAACAGGCATTACCTTCCTGAGGTATGAGCACACATTACTTGCTGTGAACCATTGACACAAAGATTAAAGAGAACTTAATCTAGCACAGCCCACAGCTAAGAGCATCACATGAGCCACATTTCAGTGGCTACTGGAGTCAAGAAACTGCACCCCAGCAGAGTGAGCTAACAGGTAATCAGGGACACATCTGTAATTCTGAGCTGAGCTCCTCAGCTTCTCTTTGCTGTAAATAATCAAAGAGCTAAAGGAAAACATGAGGGCTTCCCTGTCATTGGAAAGAAACCTTGATCCTATACAGTCTCTGCTACAAGGTGGCAGAGTCACACGCTGCAGGAGTACTAATTACAAAAGAATTATCTAAACAAGCTTCTCTGAAGGCATTTAGAGCCACCACTAATGGTATGAAGAATGTCATCAGGTAGTAATATACACAGGTAACAAACAGAGGCAGGACATATGCACTCAGAGCAGATACACCTCCTCAGAGTAGTAATGCCCTTACTTTGTTGATGTGCACAGGAAGATCTGCCTGCTCCTCTCTGTCATCCCCATTGCTGTTCTGAGACAGCGAGTCCCGACTTGGAGAACGGGAAACGGAGAAGGACTCCAACTGACGCAAGTCAAGCATGGATTTCACCGTCATCTCTATGTTGCTGGTTGGCTGGGACCAGCGCCCGCGCTGCCGGGGCATCTTGCTCATCGGTGCCTCCGAGCGCTGGATTGCTGCTATCTCTTTGGCCTGAAGGAAATTCAAACACAGTCTTAGGGATGGAGCTTTCTGCTTATGGAAAGACAGGAGAGAAAACACAAGACCCACAGAAAGACACGATTATGCCCATCTCCATGAAAGACCCAAAGCTGTCTGTGAGACAGCTTAAACTTCCTCCCTTAATCATAAAGGATCAAGTAAAGATGATGCTTTTGTTGCTGTTTCTTGTATAACTGAACATTTAAATGCATCACTCAGATCCAAGTGCATGATCAGCTTCAGCACCACATAAGATTCATGCCAGAAATGAAGGAGCAAAAGCATAACATCTGATGGAAAGATATTGATGATGTTAAGATCCCAAGTGAAACTGTCCCTTAAATTAGGCTCTAGTTTGCTACCCTCTAGTCACTCTCCACAGAGAGGATTCTCAATGGTTTTCTACCACAGCTGTATCTTCCCCACCAGGGTGAATGAAGTTTTTAATCTCCACGGGAATTTCTTTTCCAGTTTCCCTATGACAAGAAATACAACTTGAAGGTTTAGCAACTCACCCTCCTCATTTCCCAGTGGGAAAGGCTTCTTGAAAGGGTAAGGTCTGGATCTGGAAAGGGAAAAATATACATACCTAGTTGATATCCTTTGACCAGCAGTCCAGCTTTTTAAAGACCTCTTACTTCACCTTTTGTCAAAGGCAGCATTCCTACACATTTTTCATCACCAGGCACTGCTAACACATGCTTTCCAATAGATGACCAAATCATTGTATCAAAATCTTAATGAAGATGTACTGGTTTATGTAAGATTTTTGCTTACTCAGCAGACCCACTGCAGAATCCTTGCCACAGAGCAGCAGCCCACCAAAGCCTTGGCAAAAAAAACTGCTCCAAAACACTGTGATGGCAGTGGTAAAAAGACCTCAAATTAGCAATGGTAATCTTTACTGTAATTTTGTACACCCAAGCGCAAGACTAATTCAGATTTTGTTCAGCCAGTTGGAACTAGCAAGAAACTTGGCAATTTAACAACTGATTTCTAATCAGAGAAATACAAAATGTATCCCTCTTCAGACACAGGATTGGGCAACTTCACCTTTCCCATTGGTGTCTGTCATGGTTTAAGCCCAGCCGGCAACTTGGAACCACGCAGCCGCTCGCTCACTCCCCCCCCTTTTCCTTCCTCCCCCCGCTCCCAGAGGGATGGGGAGGAGAATCGAAGGAATGTAACTCCCACGGGTTGAGATAACAGCTCTCCAGTAACTAAGGTATAATACAAACCACTACTGCTACCAATAATAATGATAAGAGGAATAACAAGGGGAGAGGACACAACCGCTCACCACCCGCCGACCGATACCCAGCCCGACCCGAGCAGCGATCTGGGCCTTCCGGGTAACTCCCCCCAGTTTATATACTGGGCATGACGTGCTGTGGTATGGAATACCCCTTTGGCCAGTTTGGGTCAGGTGTCCTGCCTCTGCTTCCTCCTGGCTTCCCCTCCTCTCTGGCAGAGCATGAGACTGAGAAAGTCCTTGGTCAGAGTAAACATTACTGAGTAACAACTAAAAACATCGGTGTTATCAGCGTTGTTCCCAGGCTGAAAGTCAAAACCACAGCACTGCACCAGCTACTAAGAAGGAGAAAAAATGACTGCTGTAGCTGAACCCAGGACAGTGTCGATCCATCTGTTTCTGTCTTGGTCCTTCTCTTTCTGCCCATATCTTGTTATCCCTAAGCCCTTGTGTCTCATCTTCTCCCCACTTCACATTCATGCCGTTTTCTCCATCTCTGCCCATGCCCCTCTCCCATTTATACCTGAGTCTCTGTCAGTGTTGCAGTTGGACTGAACATGGAACGACTGCAGCCCACGGAGCTCATCTTCATCATTCCCTTCATCTTCACCATCCTTGTCGCTGTCTGATGAGAGTGCAGGTGCAGAGGACAGGGCAGAGATGGACTCACGCCTGGGAAGCAGGAATTGGAAGGACTATTACAGTCTATCTCAAGAATTGCCTACCGTTTCAATCCTTACACCAGGCACTTCACCTTACCTTCATGCACACAGCAGGCTGCCTCACCTCTCCCAAAGAGCCCTCGCTCTAGCAAACCCCATCTCTCAGAAACAGGGCAAGTTAAACCCTGCACAAAGGTGTGTAGATCCTGCCACAGCAAATCATCTCATGTGTGGCAGGATGGCAGAAATCAGAACAGAAGAAAACAAGTCTGTGAAAGTCAAGTGGAATGAAGCTTGGCTTTCTCTATCAGACCCTGCCAACTAATAAGGTCAAGATGGTAGAGGATATTTGAAAGGCAAATATTTTTACCACCCTTAAGCATTTCCACTCTGGAACCATTTTACACATCAAAAATGTCATAGAGATACTCCCTGTTTGACAGCAATTGGGTATATGGCAAATTATCACACAAGAGACAGGTTCATATCACGGATTGCACCAGGCACAACCTGAAGGCACAGTCTACACAACCCAAGAGCTCTGTGCTGCCTTTTTTAGCCTTCAAACACAAGGAATAATGTAAAACATGTTTAGGGAAGATCTTTAATCAAAGTAGATCAGACAAGTGTTCCCACACAGACCTCAGAGGCACTCCCAGCATCGAATTCCCTAATACCAATCAAGGATGCTTACCAAACTACCTTCCCTCTTTATTCTCCTCTTCCCTTTCCTCCCCTCACCCCTTCAGTCAACAGAACCAAATGAACTAACCCACTTTGGACAGTCATTGAAACACTGAAGAAATCCCTAACAAATAAATGGAGTAGCACCCGCTCCATGGCTTTAGGCTAAAGTGCTAAACTCTACATTACTGACATTTATAGGATATCACTGGTGGGTGTTGAGTGCCAAGCATTATTTATGGCATAAAAATAGCTCATCCACCAAATACAGAGCAGCCCGGCAAGGGACTGACTTCTGCAGCTGACAGATAGCAGGCAGTATTGAAACATGGCAAGAAGGAGTTAAGGCATTTAATCTTTTCTCTTCCATATAGCGCAGAACATTAATCTCCATTTTATTAGGAGTGGCTGAGCAGTCACTACCCAACCCTTTCACATGAGCTTTGAGGTGTTCTGCCAAAAAGAGTGAAACTGACTGCAGTCTGCAGGAAAACAATTTCATGTTGGCTCTCTTGATCTACTTTGGACATTTGAGTTTGTCATCCTCTTCATCTTTCCTACTGTCTCCTCGTGTGTCCATCTTGTCACTCTCAGGTCCTTGTGCCTAAGCAGGGGAATCCCAACAAAGTCCAAGCATCACAGTACATTTGAAGTTATGCCATGTTTCATCCTATGAGGTATATTAATCATGTTTATATATGGTAGGAAATATTACCTTTGTATCAGTATAACTTTGATAGCATCCTTCTGCTTGTATTTATCACTATGATGGTGGTAAGACACTGGCACAGGTTGCCCAGAGAAACTGTGGCTGCCCCATCCCTGGCAGTGTTCTAGGCCAGGTTGGACACAGGGGCTTGGAGCAACCTGCTCTAGTGGAAGGTGTCTCTGCCCATGGCAGGGGGTTGGAACTAGGTGAGCTTTGAGGTTCCTTCCAACACAAACCATTCTGTGATTCTATGATGATTCTATGGTTGTTTGAGGAGCTTACGGAGGAAGAAGGGTTAGGTTATTAGACATTTTAATAGACATCTAACTGGTTGAATGCCTCACTATGATGAGATGACATGGCAAGGCAAGGTTATGTGTTTACTAAACTCCTGCAAGCACTGTCATTGGTGTAAACAGAGAAGGGAAGATTGCTATCAATGTAGTTCATGTTACAAATAGAAAGATGGCCTCTGTACATCTTATGACTGACAAAATTAGTAAGGGAGGCGGGGAGTAAGTATGTTCCAATATCCTCAAAGGAGCTGAGTACGAGAATGTAAAACATATTTTGGGTGTTTTCATACCTCACAGCAAGTGCCAAACAAATCATGAAGTCACATGTGTCTGGTATAAATGTAAGGTTTTCCTGCATTACCCCAGCAAAAATTCATGCTCCCCTTCCACACCCTCCTTTTTACAACTCAAACATGCTTTTCAAACTCAGTCCTCTGACTTGAAGGGAGATAGATGAATGAGGTTTGCAAAAGGACCTTGGGCTCACTGACTTGCAACTGAGATACTCCTGAAAATGAAACCTAGGTTAGCAAGGTCTTGAGTGTTTTAACTGCTGTGCTTGCCCAAGTCGATCCCTCAAGTCGGACTTCATTACTCTCTCCTTTCTTCCACTATGTACTTTGGGTTTTCTTCTAAGCCCCTCTGTTGCACACATCTCCTTGACACTCGTCCTCAGTTCCTGTTCACACTTACATGGAAGTCAGTCAGAATAATGTAGGATGAGGTTTCAAGCACGGAGGCTGCTTCCAAGTTTGCACCACAAGAGACCACTTTGAAAGTGAAGGGTAAGAGTTCTGTGTTTTGCTGAGTTCTAGCTGAGAGTGGGTTCAACCAACCCTAACAAAGCATCATTATATCAGAGTGAATGCTTCAGAGTAGCTATTCCAGAATAGCATGTACAGACATGTCCAACTCTCATGATACATGTGACTGACTCAGAGCAAGGATTTTAACGCTCTTGTCTTTGTCCTTTTCTGAGGAACTATCCCATTTTAATACTAGGCCTGGATGAGCAGAGACAGTTGCACTTCAGCTCACAGTTTCTGAAGGGTTTTCCAGAACAGGGTCAATTGCAAGGAAGGACTTTCAGTTAGAAAGTCTTCAGGACACGTACACAGACTTTAGAAGTGCCACATGCCTTTATGGAGTTCTTGTATAAAAGTATATGATATTAAGTATTATGTATTCTTCTGCATGTCCTCAATTCAACTCTTCCTTCTTCTCTTAAAAACAAAACAGACAAGAATGGCAACTATCCATTTAAAGAGGTATGTGGTCAGCGTTCCGCATTCCCACTCTGATCTTGTGCTACATAAACCCTCAGGTTTAGTGGCATGTTTATGGAACTGTAACATCCTAAGTGGCAGGGATCACTAGCAGATTGCTCCCCCTCTTCCCCACAAATGCCTAAGGCTTTAAAAACAAACTCACCTTCTCTTCCCCACAGAAAGATCACAGTGCTGCTGATTTGAGTTTCCCTGGTGCTACAATTGCAGTAGTTCAGCACAGACTCAGGCACCACTTCTGGTCCAGCACCAAAAGCCCGCCCCATTCTGAGCCCTGGAAACCATGTAGCTTTCCTGGACTGGCCCAAAGCCTCACTGAGAATTTGATAAGGAGCTCTTCTTTCCAAATATATCTGACAGCACATAGTGCTTCTTCAGCATACATGTATGTTTTAGACAATTTAATCTGGATAACATTTCCATTTCCTGCTATTTATATTAGAACTTCAATGAAAGTCAAAGAAAAAGTGACTTTTAAAAGCAAAATTAAATGCTCAGCTCAAACATGACTCTAAGCCCTGCAAACATTCCACAGGACAATCAATTTAAAATGTCCCTTCCAAAAATTTGAGACAAGCTTTTCTAAACAATAAAGGCATATTTGGATCAAAATCAAAACCCTATTGAAAAGCCTTTACACGGTTCCTTCTCTGAAAATACAAATGTCTCAAAACCAAAATGTACTAGCAGTATCAGCTGAGTTCAAGTTCTATTATCCCAAACAACCAAAGCTCCTCATGTTCAGCAGATGAGAGAAAAGGACACATCTGATTATCGCAAGTAGAGGCTCTTGGGGGTACTATGGAGAACTGTCAGTCATACAGGTCAGATTAGTTCCAAAATAACCCAATGTCCCATAAAGGCAAGTCAGAGAAATCCTTCAGAGGAGAAACTTTAGTCTCTTGAAGTTTCTGGAGGGACTGAGAAGGCTGGGTCTCTTCAGTTTGGAGAGAAGGTTAGATGAAGAGAGGTTATGTTTAAGGTTTACAAAACCACGGAGACTACAGGTAGCTGAATGCAGAAAGACAGTTTACCAAAGCTCACAATATTCAGAAGCAGTGAGCTTAACAAAACCAGGAGAGTAGTTTAACAGAGACAAAAAAGTCCTTCTTTCCACAGAGAGGAGCCAACTCCAGGAACTTGTCACCAAAAGAGGTTGCAGAGGCAGACAATATTATAAAGCTCAAAAAGGATCTATACAAATTCAGCAGACAATGGGTCCATGACTAAATCCTAAAGGAAACAGGTAGAGATGCACCTCCTAAAATCCCTGATACAACAACTGAGCATGAGGCAAATGGACCACATAGGTTCATATAGCAAAGCTCACAGCATCTCACTAAATACCATCTTACATTGCCAATGTCACAGGCAGAATACTGGGCTTCTTGAAGCACTGGTTTTACCCAGAAAGATGCCTTCTTTGTGTTTACCCCCAGATGTTATTCACCTGGGCCAATCCCTGCCCCATCAGTCACAGCTGGACTGAATTGGAAATCTTCAGCTCCCCACTGCCTCCTCGACTCAGTTTTATTTCCAGTATTGCTTAGATTATACATCCTGTCATACACTCACAATATACATCTAGCAGAATGCATTACTTCCCCACCAAGTTCTAGCAATGCTGTTCTAGAGAAAACCTAGTAGAACAAATGACATCTCACCAAGCAGAGAGCATTCCAATACTACTGTGAGTCCTTTTGAGAGAACAGTTTTACACCACAAGATACAACCCAACTCTCCACTGCAACCTAACACAGACTTTGGAAACACAACCAGAACTGGTACAGGACATCTAGAAGACCAAGCTTACACAGGTTCACTAGTTTTCCTTCTCCCACCTCAATAATGCTGATCCAATAGGCGCTTCCTCCATCTTCAATCCCAATCCAAAATGCTCTGGAGTTATGTCTTTGCTGATCTCCACTGACCACAGCGGTTGATCAAAACTGAAAACAAGCTTTCAAAGCTCACCAGACAAGGAGATTCCAGGCTTGCAAAGAGGTTACCAAACGAGTTTAATAAAGTTCTGGGCTTGGCGTGGCACTAACACCGCCCTTCAGCAAGCGTCTGTGACGGAAACAAGTATCACCTAATGTGGAAAGAGGACTGAGATTATGTCACAGGCTGAGCCTCAGTAGGTTAAGGCTGCAGCTGCTGGAATAATGGAGAGTCTGCTATAAAAAGCACATTGCTTGACAGCTCCAGAATTTTGGCTAGGAAAAAAGGTCTCCTGAGTTCTCCCAGCATCATTACCACAAGCACTCATTAGACAAGACTCGTTTGAAGAATGAGCAGATCAAGGCTTTCCCTAAAGAAACTATGCAGACAGACTTGTTTCAACATCACTTGCTCGCAAAGGGAGTGGAAAGGTCCTTGTGATACTCAACACAACCATCAGTGTGGTAAGCCCTCCATTGCTTTGCCACTTTTACATTCAGAACTCAATTTGTAGTCGTTTGCAGGAGGAAAATCGTGGGACATAGCATCAAATAAAACTGTGTTTATCCTTTTTTCTCCACTTTGATCCCGTATCAGCTCAGTCAGGACTCTCTCCTGCATTGCTTACAGTCAAATTAGTCTCAGCTACTTACTATGTACAGAGAAACCAAATACATTACACTAACAATCCATAATCCCGTGTCACTCTTGTTCTGTTTAAAAAAGGGTCTGTGTTTAAACACCACTCTTTAAAGAAAGGTCACCAGATAAATTTAGATCTATTCAGTTTGTAGGCTGTGGCAGTTTGCTTTTAGATACGTTGCTTACCAGCAAAAATAATATGATTTAGCTGCCAAAAGCTTTTACCATGGAAATGGATTTTTATATTTATTTTTTTTATTACAATTATTTTTAGGTGACCTTTTTCAAAGCCTCCAGAAAATAGTTAACAAAGAAACAGCACAATTGAAAGGATTTTTCCAGAATCATGTTGACATGGCAAACTCATGCGGCTCAAACTCATACGTCCGTACAGCAGAAAACAGCCTTTAAACTACATTCAGGCTAGATCCAGAGAACTTTATTCATGAAGGAGCACAGCTTCCCTGGTGGGATGCTGTGTATCAGCCTCAGCATTGCTAGGTAAACTGCTTATTAAAGTTTCTGACCACATCATTAAACTAAATTAAGACACAAGGAGCATTGCATACACATTTCAATCAGTGAAGCAACACTAAGTCTGTCTGGAAGATCCAAAGTGGGGCACAAAACCCACGGCAAATCCAACAGAAAAACAAGAGAACTTCTGGAAAACACTATCAGTGAAGACAGCAGAGACCTTACAGCTGAACCCCAGAGCCACACTTTTCACATTCAACCCTACAAAGCCAGCCACCTCCTCTCGGTTTGCTCTGCTCACCTCATGAGTCCAGCAGTCTTGTGCGGAGGAGACTTTTCTGCCTGCTTCCCTCTCTGTTTCATGTCAGACAGTCGCTGCCGCATGTTGATGGTCATCTCTGAGCTCAGACGCCAGATGAAGATACAGCTGAAAGAGGGAAAGGTGAGGCTGAGGTCAAGTGCCAGTTCAGTTTATTGCTATTATCAATTTCCACTGCAGAGGCCAACAAGAGCCCTTCTGTCTGTGGTGGGAAGAGACACGCACAGAAACTCAATCCCATCACAAGCCTTATGACAAAAGAGTAAAACCTGCCTGGCAAAGACTCCCTGTGGGCGAGAGCAACTGCAGAGATACTTGTACAGGCTCATCTCTGATCCTGCACCTTTATTTGACTATCTGACCAGCTGCTGAAGGAAATGCCATAACAAGTCCCTCCATGGTCAGGAGGATAAGCAGAGTCTACAGATGTCCTCTAACAGTGGCTAAGCTGCAGCCTCCAACTGCAACTACCCCCACAGGCAACCCTCTCATGCCCATCATCCCATGGTGTCTCTGTGGTGTAATCACAGCTAAGCTGATGTGGCAGTACTTCTCGCAGTCAGGGTGCTCCTAATATTTTACATGGACTTCCTCCAGGAAACTTCTAAGGAATATGATTGAATTTGGTCAGTGGATTCAAAAGTGTTTGAGAGCGGGAAACAAACAGTGTGATCTCACTGGTTTCATTTTCTTCAGAAATCTGGCTAAAGAAAAACATTCCTCATCACATTAGAGAATACATATTGTATCTCATCTTCAGCTGCTGGAAAGTGAAATGACAAGCATGTCCTTTGAAATTTAACCTCAGTGCTAACTAATTCTTTTCATCTCACCCATCTTTCCTGTCTAGCTGGGTATACTTACACTGATGCAGCAACAGAGATGGTGCTTTTGCTATCACTTATCATAGAATAGTTCGGGCTGGAAGGGACCTCAAAGCTCATCTAGTTCCAAAGCCCCTGCCATGGGCAGGGACACCTTTCTCTAGACCACGTTGGCCTTGGACACTGCCAGGTATGGGGCAGACACAGCTTCTCTGGGCACCCTGTGCCAGCGTCTCACTACTCTTACAGTAAACAATTTTTTCCTGATATCTAATCTAAATCTCCCCTCTGTCAGTTTAAAGCCATTCCCCCCTGCCCTGTCACTACATACCATTGTAAAAAGTCCCTTTCCAGCTTCCTTATAGGCCCCTTTTAGGCACTGGAAGGCTGCTATAAGGTCTTGGCTGAGCAACCCCAACTCAGCCTATCTCCATAGCAGAGGTGCTCCAACTCCCTGATCATCTTCATGACCTCCTCTATACTCGCTCTAACAGCTCCACATCCCTCTTGTGTTGGGGACCCCAGAGCTGGATGCAGGACTGTAGGTGGGGGCTCATGAGAGCAGAGTAGAGGGGGAGAATCACCTGCACCATACTTTGGAATCCAAAGAGGATTTAATCCAGTTCTTCAAGACCCATCAGTGCCACCTTACTTGTGAATACTCCAATTCACAAAGGAGTTTTCAAGGCGGGGCTTTCCCTTCTTCCTTGCTAGGCTGTGAAAATTCATTTGCTCTGCCTGTTTGAACAGTGACCATGAACTCTGGTCTCCCTGGCCTGAAGCAAATGCCAGAACAGCAGGATCCTGAATACCTGCATCTCCTACACTTTTTTCCTCTCATGAAAAGACATTTTAAAAGGTTTTTATTTCCAAACCACAGAAGAAGAAAACAGAAAGCTCACTTCAGTCTGTGGAGATTTTAATGAAAAAGTAGTTTCCCTTCTTGCCCCCTTTGTGACAAAGCTCAGGAGCATCATCCCAGCTACTGAAATCACGCACAGACACTTCCCACCAACAATGGACATGCTGACATCCTCCTGTCCCAGCTTTTGAGCCAGGAGGAAGCGGTGAGGCATTGCATGTGGGAGCTATGGCAAGCTGGGGTAGCCAGCTGCTTCCCCTCAAGCAGCAGCTCTCCCAAACATAACATCAACCTTAATCTGCTGATGAGAAAATACTGAAAAGCAGGAAACAAAATTCAGAAAGCAAATCTGGCTTATTCATTTATCCCACCCCCACAGCCATCAAATCTACAGATAAGCAGCAAACAGCAGGAACTTGTAAATACATCAGCATTCAACACAAAGCTCTAAAGCACACTCCCAACCTACTTCTTTTGCTGCTGTTTTATTTCTCCCTTGCAGTACTTTTCTCACATGGGTCTCCCAGTCCTTATACCCTTCCTCAATTCTTTCTATTCTCAGTTTGACTCTTTGCACATGCTGCTGCATGTGAACGGACTATTCTCCCTGTTCTCCTCTGAAAAACATGCTTTCTCATCAACTTACAGTGAAGTTCTTCATGAATCCTTGCCTTACTTCCACCTCCTCCACAGACTTAGTGAAGAAAATGACCCTTTTGCTCATAGAAATGGTCAACAAGGGTATATTGCACCAAATCACAAGCACCACTGGGACCTCAAACCTTCCATGTTTCTAGAATTTATCAGAAATCCACAAGAAAAGGCCTCTCTCCTCTGCAACTTTTCCCCTAATCTGTTCATACACATGAAAGGTAAAGAAAGAGGAAAATTAAGTTCTTTTTACTGAAAGACAGGAACAACCAACTGATGTGATTTAAGGTGATCTATTGTATGTTCTGTAACAACCCACCCTCTAAAATGCTTTTTCCAGTTCAGTTGTGTTTTATTATTAGAAAAAGAAAGAAAGAGACAACCTGGGTTGCTCTGACCTTGAAGTAGCATTTCATGAACCAGGTTTCTCAAAGGGAAAAAATTACTCACTTCAGCTGATGCCAGTAGTGGGTCCACTCACCTCTACAATCACCATATTAAGGTATATCATCATATTATGGATCAGCAGAAAACTCAGCTTGGGGGTGCTGATGTAGTGACCTGAATCAGGGGTCAGCCCCACCACAGCTCACTTGGGGAGTAGGGAAGAGGACCATATGGACAAGAGCAAAGAGTGGGACAGGCCTCTCCCTTTTGCTGCTAGACAGGCTCATTCACCTGGTGAAACCTCACCAACAGGAGCACTGCTAGAAAGTTTTGGCACCATCAGTTAGAATGTCATAAGCTGCCTTACATCACTGTCCTGAAGGCAGGTAAGGAAACACGCCACATCCCTGTCTCCTTGCAGGGAACAGTACCCATGCTCAGAAAACCACAGGGGAAGTACTTCACATGGGCATCTTATTCCAAGAAGGGATAATATAAGCTCTGTGAGCTTTGCCAATGGCAGGCATTTAGGATTCAGAAAGCTCTGAGGTTTATTTGGAATTCAAGAAACATCCCTTATTTTAAATAAATAAATAAATATTCTACTTTCCTTCAGGACACACGTTAAATCTAGTGTGAGACGGCATGAGCTGATAGCACAAACAAGCAAACCCCTCTTACCTGTCACCAGAAACAGAGATCAGATGCTTGCAGTCATTACTGAATTTCATCCCGGTTACAATCTCTGTGTAGAATAAAGCACAAGGAAAAAAACTTCCCTGAATTATTGCAATGGACAGAAGGGATCATCAGCCAAATAGCCTACCTGTGCTTAGCAACTCAAATTCTGATTAAAGCCAAAAACGTCACAGATCAATATGCCCCAATTAACATAACCACTTACAGAATGTAGGCTTGAAATGGAAAGGGTATCCCACAGTAAAATATTACAGAATAACAGAATAGCCCCTGCACAACAGGACCCGAGGGTAGATCATAACGAAACTTAATGTACACTGAAAAAACACAGACTACCTTATAGGCTATTAGAAAAATTGTATAAACAAATACATGGCCTGACAGGCGTGTGTGGGCTTGTGTTTTGCAATGCAAAATGCAGTCTGGAAAGGTTGAAACAGCAATGAAATAAGCTATTATAACTTCTTCCAACTGTGACCAGCTCCAAAATACCCACCGCATAAACTCTGGTGGGGAGGAACCTTCAGAAAACTTTGATTAGTATCAGACCCTACTATACAGTCATCAGCAGAAAAATGCATTTCAGGAAGTTTCTGTGCCTTACCTGAATGTCCGTACATGGTTGCAACACACTCGCCAGAATAGAAATCAAAGATGGAGAGGTTCTTGTCAGAACAGCTGGTTGCAATGTAAAGACCAGAAGGATCTGTTTGCACCTGGGTTAGAAGATGAGAAGCACAAAGATCTGGTGAAAAAGTGCCTTCAAACTGCATGAATATGGTCCAGAATACCCAAGACAGTTGTAGTAGTTAACAGAGTAAGAGGCAAGGAGCTTCCACAGGACTCCAATCAAATATGAGGCTATCCAGCATCCCAGGACAAATCTCCAACCTGACTAAGCTGTACAAACTAATCTCCAATGTAATCAGAAACTAAAGGCACTTACATTAAATGCCTTCATGATTGTGAAGGCACCACCACCAATGGACAGGCTTATCCTCTCTCTCCTACCTCCTTTTAATCACCAGGGTCATGTTTTCTTCTAAACAAAACCCCCACGCACATGCCAAGACACACACAACCCCAAAAATAATCAGAGCTGACAGAGTTAAGTGAAATATTAAAAGATTCCAATCTTCAGGAGAGAAACCAAAAGAGAACTCAACACTGCAGAGAAATTGTCTTCTCCAACATCTGCAATTCCTTTTTTGGCGTTGGTTTTGCTTTCGGGTTGGTTTTTTGAGGGGTTTTTATTGTTTATTTTCTGTTTGGTTGTTTTGGGTTTTTTTTCATACGCATCCATTTGTGGCTTTATCTTGGATAAATATAAAACCCCTTCCAAATGCCTCTCTAGGGCTAAAGCAGCACCACAAAGCAAATACAGCTGCTGTCACCAAATGTCCTGCATTGTCCTTTGTAGAACTTCAATGAACTGAGAGTGAAAATGTCTGGGTTTTGAGGGAGACATGGTATTTAATTGATAACTTTTTGTTGGCTGTGTTTATTTTGGTGCTGTATCTTCTGCTTCCAATGTCACTGTTTGGATTCTACTTGTAAAATTGCAATACGGTCTCAGAACAACAAGCCAAGAAAGTTTAAACTCCAGAGACAATCATAATACCTTGGTTACACAATTGTCCAAAGAAATGAACAAAGCAACATTTAAAAGTAATTGAGATTCCCCAGTTGAGCTACACATGAAAAAACCCAAAACAGAACATAAAGGATAAACAAAAAATCCAGCTCCCAGCAAGATTTCATGATATGTTGGCTGAGAAACATAACCAAGTATCTCAGCAAGTACCAGCAATAAAAGTGCAGCATCAGTTTCTCATTTTCACTACTATGGCTTATAAAAAAAATCTGTAGGAATTATAAAAGGCAAAGACAGAACTTAATTTTTCTCTGTAAAACAGAAGAGGCAACACTGAATAAAGCTGTTCACCTTCCTCTCTCTTTTTACCTTTTTATCAACAGGCAGCTCCACCTTAAAAGTCCTAATAAAAATAGCCAGGAAAGCCATAATGAACTCTCTGGAGCAGAAAGTAAAGGATTAAAGTAAATGGACTAAATCACCTCCTGACAGATATTGGTGCAGTTCTACTTGCTTTTACAGCACGGGCCTGTGCCTCACTTCAGAAACAACAGGTAAGTTATACATCAACTTCAGCATTCCTTGACTCTTTTCCTGCTTTAGCCTAATGGAACACAAATACACTACCAGCCCTTAAGGCTGGAGGTAGAAGGAAGTGGCAGCAGCAGGATAACGGACAAAGCATGGAGCAAGCAACAACCACCACTGAAAAAAAGTTACTGTGTTCGGATTTGTGTTTCATTTTCCAAGCCCTGAGCTGCACTTGGAAGAGCTGGAAAAAAGGAAAAGCGAAGAAAGAAAGAAAACCACTTACTTTGATGAGGGTGCCATCTTCACCTTGGGATCCCTTATAAAGCTTCTTCTGCTTCCCACTGCTTATATTGAAAACCCTGAGGGGGATGACATAAACCAACATGGCTCATTTTGCCCACGTACTGCTCTGAGGCTCTTGCCACCGGGATGCTCTTCTCCTTCTGTTCCTCATTCCATATGAGATAGAGGGAATAGGGCCAAGCCACAGGAAGTGGAGAAATGATCTCCATGAACTATAACCACCAGTCATTTAAATAGTTCAAGAAATCTTGGAAGTAATGTAGAGGCCCAAGATTGCATGATGTGATATCAAGCAGATTAATCTGAATTAAAATTGAGGCTTGATTCTCAAACAGATAATAAAAAACAAGTATAGCACCATGGCACTGAAGAAGAGATCAAATGGGAGGGAGAAAACCCTGCCATGCCTTTTAATGGCTAATGATGATGTAGCAGGAATAGCTCCTAATAAGCTTCAGTTAGTCCTCCCTGCTATAAAAATGCCTGTGGCTCCTTCATATTAAAGGAAAAGGTTAGGAGAGCAAGACCCTTTATTTACTTTAGAATACAAAACCAAATTACATTTGGTAGTGATATTTAGCTATGACCAAAACTCTTGGCATCTCACCCAGACACAACAGGATTTGATACACAAATACAGAAAGTCTCCTGTGCCTTGAAGGCAGAAGCAGACAAATTGGAGAAATGGGTAAAAAGGGAGCAAACAATGGATTCCACCTGGCTGAAGATAGTCACACTTAGCTGAGTTTTAGGTTCCTACAGCCTCAGAATGTTCCACAGGACCTCGCAGCTTCTCACTAGGCACAACTTTAAAAGCAAAAATGACCACAGCATAGAAGTTCTTGCCCCACAGCTCAAGGATGTGCCAAGGAAGGCACACTTGCTCTCCCAGTAGAAAGACTTCGCTCTTCAAAGCAACCCAGTGAGAAGACAAGGGTCCCATAGGCATCTGCATATACCCACAGGTTTTTATCAGCGAGGGGATAGGCAGAGTTCAACCCCACAGAATGTGAGGTAAGGCCTCAGATCTGCCTGAAAATGCTGTGTCAAAGAGGAATAATGATGGAGATGGGGCCACCTTGGCCAACTCATTTATGACTGCAAAGATATATTCAAGACAAGTAGCAAACTAACCTGATGTTACGATCTTGGCATCCAATAGCTGCGTATTTCCAGCTGGGGTCCACATCCATGTCATACAGAGTGGTCTTCCTAACAATGTGATGTGTTCGGGTAAACTGAACCCCTTCTCCTGTCTAAGCATATGGATAAAGACTGTGTCAAAATCAAGTAGTTAACCCATTATCAAAAACTCCTAATACAGGTCTCACACAGCCAGCACAAACCAACTATTCCCACATTAACCAGGTCTGCTGGGAGCAGCTGGGACTGGAGGCACAATGAACTCCTCCCTCGAGCCCTTACTCTTTCACCACTCCTCACAATAGCCCTGGCAGTGAAATAAAAGCAGATATCCTAACAGCTCTCTGCTTTGCATCTTGCTGAGAGAGGTCAGGCTTGGAGCAGCTTCATGCTTCACAGAACTAGTTCTCTGAATGTGATCTCTTGAATTGAGTCAGTGGGAGACACTGAGGCTGAATAGCAACAAGCTCATACAGAAACTCTGATATCATCCTTTAAAGCAGTTCCTTTGTGGAGAGATTATTAAAAAAAGCTGTAATAAGGTTACCTTCTGGGCAGTGCGGAAATAGATGCTCTTGTCTGCCCCACAGCTTATCATTCGCACCTTCCCATCATTGGCTGCAACAAAAAGGCAGGAGCCCATTAAAAGATAAACACAGATAGAAGGTGGAGAACATATTTTAATTTATACCATTTATTCCAGTCCTGATTAGCTTAGACTGACTCCTGCCTAAGCAGCAGGATGCTGCAGCAAAACAGACGCCCCCTTCTCAGGGACAGCATTAATGCTCAGTGTGCTTGAGGCCTTAATACAGAGGCTTTACACAACATATTAGGATGTAATTCTCCCTCAACAGCAATGCCCATGTGCTTATTCTCTGTGTGCCACAGCACCCTGTTGCAGTGTGACAAGTTCACACTCATATGAGCTGAAGTTGGGCAATAGGCACTTTTCAGTCCTCGAAGTCAGTCGCATGTTTCTTGCTGCCCAGGCTTACTGCAGAGTCAGGCTCCCCTCAGCACAGTTTAGTAACCAATCTGCTTCTTCAGTAAAGCAATACCTGATAAATCTGCGTGTAGTGAAAATCTCTGTGTAGCAAAAATGGCAGTAGCATTGCAGCCACACCTGTAGCTGGCCACATACCCTACTGGTCCGAATCCTGACCCTCACTCATGGGCTCAGTGTCCTGATTTCAACTTGAACCTGCCTTGCTGCTATGGGCTTAGCAGGCGCTGAACTGTAGCTGAGCCAGCTCACTGCCTCCAGACTGATCCTGACCTTCAATTGCTGACCTGTCTTACCCCTATGGATTTATCTGGTGATCTGGACTGCTGGCTGGATCTAGTTACTGTCACTGGACTTGATCTGTTCCACCTCATTCAGGTACTGGGGGACTTTGCCATTGCCGGTGAGGCCACTAACATTGACTGCCTTCCTGTGACCCTTGGCTACTGGCTTCCTCTGGAAGAGCAGCCAACCCTTCGTGTTCCCTGACAATACACCACACTGATGTCTGACCATGAGTAGTAACTGAGTGCTGGGGATGCAGCGTGCTCCATTACCAGGAATGCGAAGTCTTACACTGGTTTGTAATGACAAATTTACTTGTGAATAGTTAAATCCAGAAGATGTTTGTGGGTTTGGGGATTTTTTGGGGAGGAGGACTGTTCCACAGTTCTCCTCATTAAGAACAGCATGTAGCCATCTGACAACAGTTAAAGGGAGTAAATCATTACAGAAAAGAGCTTTCCAAAGAAATGCTGAGGACTTCAGTCACAAGAGGTTTTGTGAATGAAGAGGAAGAGGAGGAGAAGAAAGCAAAAGAGAGAAGATGACAGGTATAGTTAAATATCACCTTCTGTTAGGATATTGCAGCTACAGAAGATGACAAAAAAGCAGCTTCAGCCCTGGCCTAACTGAGTGTTCGAAGAGTTAAAATTACTTTACAGCCACAATGGGACAACAGCAGTGCTCAAATCCAGCTTTGGAGGGAAGCCATGATTCTCTACCTGCAAACTTGACAGCAGTGATGGAAGAAGAATGCTCATCCAGGGTCTGCTGCAGACTGTAGTCCTTTCCAGCATCCAAGACATGAATCAGCCTATCCCGACTGGCTGAGGCTAAGAGCTTTAAGCCTGTCAGAGAGTTAAAAAGAGTGCAAGACCATTACTAAAAAGTCATATGCTCTTCCAGTCACTATTTTAAAACAGCTTCTCAAATAATCTTAAGGACAAAACATTGTACTGTGGATAACTGCGTGGATGGACACAAAGGAACGCCCCTGGATTTCACACTATGATAACAGGCAGAACAAGTTTCAACCTCAACCTACAATATTCCAAGGAAAAGTATGAGAAAGAAGCCTTTTTCAATGTCAGGCTCTATTGGCCCAAGGCTACAAAAGCCTGCTCTGAAATCCAGTAGTTCTAACATACCATGGCTGGACATTCTGATTCACTCAACACTATGTTCATATGCAAAAAGGAAGAAACTCAATTGCTTTTACCTGTGTCAGGTTTGGAGTACTCCAGACATAGGATCTCAGAGTCATGGGCTTCCACCTTCAGCATTTCCCTCAGAGACTGCAACTCATATATCCTAAGACACAACATGGCTGGTTTCAGTATGTTTAATGAAATTAGCAAGATCTGGTTTTGATTCTCATGCCTGCCCAGCCCACGGTCTGCACAAGAAGCTCCTTGGGATTACCTGAGAGTGCCTATCCTGTCCCCCGAGGCCAGGTGCTCCCCACTGGGACTCACACAGACGGTGCGTATCCCCACCTTCGTATCCATCACTTGTGCATCAGCTTTGTCTGCACTTCCTTCTGAGTTGTAATCCGTGTCCAGAAGTACCTGAGTGTTGTCATCTACATAGATGATTTTCATCAAGTCCTGGGGATACAATACACCCAGAAATATTAACTAGTGACAAAACATTAAAGTGAAGGACCTACCTTAGAAACTGGGCTCCTGGCCAACATATACACTTCATTTACAGTAATGCTGTACTTGGTGGGATCTTTTGGCTAAGAGCAAGGACTCAGCACCTTCATACTGTAGGATGAAAGTTTCACAACTGTGTCTCACAATCACCTTTTGCAAACAATTCCCCTTCAAGCTAGAAGCTAACAGCATCTCCCATACAACAGACAAGCTCTGGGATTAATGATTACAATGTAGTAGGGGAC